TTATTAGAAACGATTATTAACGAGATATCTACATGATGATAATTTTAAATATACAATGCAACAATTAGAAAGCAGTAAAAGAACGGATTTTGGAAAAGAAACCTTTGAAGCGTGCTTTTATATATTTCAACGAAGTCTAGGAGGCTTTTTGGCGCTCCCTCCCTCTACACGCTCGCTCGCTCCTCCTAAAAAATAATTTTTTTACTATGGAAATCCAAGGGATTTCCCTTCGACTAGGTTCGAGACTCAAGCAAATGGCTCGTGACTCAAGAACTTCGTCGGATCGGCTCTCAGAGAGATTTCTAGGGCAGAACACTGCTCAAAAACCCCAGAGTACTCAAGAAGAGAGTCAAAAAAGTGTCCAAAAGTGTGGAAAAGTGTGGAATGACGTCCAAATGACGTCCTATATATAGGAGTGAGGCGCAGTACGGCCTCTGGGGTCAATACGGCCCGTACTGAAGTTTTGAACTACAGTACGGCCGTATTGAATTCAGTACGGCCGTATTGAAGTTCAAAAACTTCAGTCGTATTGAATTCAGTACGGCCGTATTGAAGTTCAAAAACTTCAGTACGGCCGTATTGGGTTCAGTACGGCCGTATTGTAGTTCAAAATGTTCAGTACGGCCGTACTGAACTTCTAGGAGGTCGTATTGAGCTCCAATCCTCCCACTTCCTTATTTCAAGCTACTCTAAGACCTCTAAACCTACAGATAATCATCCTAGGGTCTTCCAGGAGTCCTTCTGGCTGACTTTCCTTCGGTCTTCGAGAGTCTTCGAGTCTTATTTCCGACCCGGACAATTTTAGGGGTCTACACATGCCAGGGTCACGCCCTCCCTGTAGCATCACTTACCCAGTGGTTGTGCCATCCCTAGTCATTAGTGTGAGAAACCTCAAGCATAACCATATTCACAGTCATCACATCTCATCTTATAACTCAATAACATATCACATACACACAATGGATAAATCCACAAAATAAGGGTTTCATACACCTCAAGCAATTCACATCTAAATCATCAATTTTTATCAAGTGATATAACAATAACATTCATAAATTAATATAATATTCAACGGAATTACCAATTTAATATAATTTCAACATAACGGTAAAAAGCCCCAATTGCTCCAAAACCTAGCTCACAAGCACTTTCTATAGTTTCGTTCTCCCTCTCAGATCATCATTCTTACAAATTAAATGTATTTTTCTAATCCTCAACACATACAGAATCTAATGGGATCATCAATTTCTCAAATAGAAATAATCCAATTTTTTCCAAAACCTAACTTACAGGCACTTTTCTATAATTTCGTTCTCTATCCTAGAGTATCATTTTTACAAATAAAATATATATTCATAATCCTAAATTCATACAGAATCACATAAAACCAATAATTCTCCAAACAGAAATAATTATAAAATTACTCATAATCTTAAGGGTTCTTCCTCTACCCAATTCCCTCATATAACTCTACATATAAATAATTCCATTTTCTCTCGTACCTAGATATGTAGAAGCTGAACCTACACAAGATCTGATTGATCTCCCTCGCTGGGTTCCCGTTGGACTGAAGCAGAAAGTAGAGGAAAAGAAAAGAGAGCAGAAGAAAAGAAATCAGAAAATGAGAGGTGTGCCTTTTGGGAGTGGCAGAGGGCTCAATTTATAGGCATCAGGCTTCGTCGGAACGGCCCGTTCTGGAACCTTAAATCGTGGGTAAAAATCACATCCAGAACGACCCGTTCCCAAACCAGAACGGCCCGTTCTGGTGTGCATTAAATACTCACAACGACCATATTTTGGAAACGGCCCGTTCCAAGCCCGTTCCAACTTAGGGTTATAGGCTGTTTTAATAGTCCAGAACGGCACGTTCCAACTTGAGAACAACCCGATCTGGGCAACAAACTCGCATATATTTTGGTAGTTTGAAACGACCCGTTCCAATTCCAGAATAGCCTGTTCCAAGCTACTAAATCACATACCTTTTGGTAGTTTGGAACGGCCCGTTCTAATTCCGAAACAGCCCGTTCCAAGCTACTAAATCACTCCTATACCTTTATAAAATTACCAAAATACCCTTAATTAAAATAAAAAGTGAAATAAAAACTGGGGTGTTACAATTCTCCCCTCCTTTTAAAAATTTTGTCCTCGAAATTACCTAAAGCAAATAAAAATGGATATGACGCTTTCATCTTCTCCTCTAGCTCCCAAGTAACACTTTTCAGGTGTAGCTCCTCCCCAAATAACTTTCACCAAAGGAATCTCTTTCCCCCTAAGTTGCTTCACCATTCGATCCTCAACTCTCACCGGGGTAGCTTCCATAATTAGGTTCTCCTTAACCTCAAGATGATCCGACCCAATCACATGCGATGGATCATGGATGTATTTCTGAAGTTGGGAAATGAGGAAAACATCATGGAGATTTGACAAATTAGGAGGCAAAGCAATTTGGTAAGCAATACTACCGACTCTTTTTAGAATTTGGAAATGACCAATAAATCGAGGAGTAAGTTTTCTAGATAACATTATCAATCTAACCTTATCAGTGGTTTGTTGCACAATCTCAGGTCTTAAGATAACATTATCACCAGGCTCGCACCAACACAAAGGGGTCCTACATCTCCTACCATACAAGGCTTCATAAGGTGCCATACCTATACTAGGGTGGTAACTATTATTATAGGTAAACTCTATCAAAGGTACAAGACTATCCCAACTACCCCCTTGGTCCAACACACAGGCTCTAAGCAAATCCTCTAAAGATTGAATAGTCCTCTCAGTCTGACCATCAGTTTGAGGGTGGTAAGCTGAACTAAGCTAAGTTGGGTCCCCAAAGCTCGTTGTAGGCTCTCCCAAAACCTAGAGGTGAATTTAGGGTCTCTGTCTGAAACTATGCTAGATGGTATCTCATGCAATCTCACAATCTTATCAATATACACTCTAGCCAATCTCTCTAGAGAATAACTAATGTTAATAGGTAAGAAATGTGCACTATTAGTCAACCTATCAACTATAACCCAAATGGAATCATGCCCTCTCCTAGTCCTAGGCAAAGCAACTACAAAATCCATAGAATTGCTATCCCACTTCCACTCAAAGGCTGAAGTAGTCCTGAAGGTTTCTGATGTTC